CCTTGTATAATAGGTGACTTTTAGAGACGTAGATCTTAAAAGCTGAATAAATCTGGAAGTATATTCCTATTTCCTCTAATACTTCTGGTAAATTGTCAAGTCTGTATGTACTGATGTTGCCCCCAGGTGAGCGCATTCTATCAACAAGACAAAACATTTTCCATCATTTGGATAGTGAATAATAATCACATATCAAACACTAGATATATTAACAAGACCTTTGGGAAATTTGCTCATATTTTTGTTTTTCAGTCTGATTTTAACCTGTGAATAGTTATTTAAAAAAAAGATGTAATGATTCACAACGTACATTTCTGATAACCAAATGTGGCTCCATACCTCAGGCTTTGTTTTCTTCAGGAAAAGAAAAAAAAAGTTGGCATTTTATAATCCACCAACACTACTTTATGTTATAAATTTTTGACTATCTCAATGTCAAAGCTGTCCTCCCAATAAGTAATGTCTAAAGCATACAGCCCATATACCAAACATTACCCAAGTCCATGTGCATTTTGAGTTGCAATTCTGGGGTAAATGTAATTAGGAGAACTACATAATGTATACTGCTGTTTATAATGGCATCTTAATATTCACATTTTGCATAAGAGGTGAGTTCCTAGGGTAGTATCTAATGAAAATGAAGATACAACTTTCTTGTGACAGTCTGGTGGCTGACCTTTTAACCTACGCTTTTAAAAAAGGCCTTCATTCTGTTTTTTTTTATATAACTATTCCTTTTTAAAATTATAGCACAATTCTAATACTAGATATACAGTCTTTCTCTCTTCAAAATAGTTATAAGGGTCTAAAGTAGAAAGCTGATCTGATTGGCAATGCATTTTTACCCTATGTGGGACTATACCATTCCAACTTTCTTGTCTATTATTTTGACTGCAACTTCCAAGTCAGTGTGAATGGACTCAGCTCTGTAGACACCAGCAAATGATCCTTTACCAAGCAGATTTATAACTTTCAAATTTTCCCTCTTCTCTCCCATGCAGGATACCATATTTCCAGGCACTGGCTCTGTTCCCATTTGGCTCAGCTCCCATTAGGCTAAGTTTCCATGGTTACAGTTCCTATGGCAAAAGCACAGCCACCAAAAGGTCTCCAGGATACTGAGTCAGGAATTTGCCTCTGAGCTCCCATTTTGGGAAGCTTGGGCTGGTTGACCCAATGACGGTAATGGGCACAGAAATATCACCCTAACTATTTTCTCTTGTTACTACAACACAACAAAACATCAACCATGAGTTGGAAATTTGGGGGGGATCCTGTGCAGTCAAGTATCCAGTACTTCTATTGCAAAGGTCAAATAAGGCAGAATTCCTGTGTAAGCACATGTTTCCTTCAGTGGAGTGTGGACTCACAGTAGTTGTTTGACATATTCCAGGGGTGATTTGCCTGGGTTTAATCTTTTACTTTGCCATATTCTAGCCATGTGGCTTTTGAAAGGTACTGAACTCTACTGGGTCTCAATTTCTTTAAAATAGCTAGTACTTATCTCATCAGCCCATTGAAATGATTAAGTGAATTGATATATGTAAGCTCAAAAAAGAGTTTTCTATGTTGTCAGAGGCATTGGAGGCAGATTCATGCATTATATGGGCCATTGTATCTCAGAGTTGGCAAGAACCTTAAGGACCACCAAGTTTGTGTTTATATATCAACTTTTTAGCCTCTCTGAACTTCTAATTTTTAAATTGTTTATTGTATATAAAACAATTCTTTGGAAATGAGTAAATTCCTATCTTTAGCTCATAACTCACCAGGAGAACTGTATATCTCTGTGTACCAAGTCTCACAGAAGCGTATGAGGACTCCAGTGCTATGAATTGAGTAATATTCTCTCTGTAATGTGTAATATTATATTTAGTATATTAGAGTGAGAAAAATAGGATATGAATTATATGTAAGGAACTTCAACCATTTATCGTGGAAAAGTTAAGTATATAAGGAAGGGTGTAAGGTATACTTACTTTTTATATACCCTTGATATGAAATGATACATCTTTTAAGCTATATTTTCCTTGATTATGGAAAACAGCATGTAGGTAAATTACCACTATACACTTCTGAATTTACTAGGACATAGACTAGAATGGGATTATCAATTCCAAATAGAATTATCAACTCCAAATAGAATTATCACTAATTCTATTTGAACAGAACTCATGTTACTAAGAATTCACTGCTAAAACCTTCTCTTACGTAGTAGACCAGTTCATCCTCAGGTAACGCAATGACCTCTCCCTCCTGGTAGAGCAGAGGCACATGGCACGGATGCAAGAACAACAGGACTTCTGGGGTGCCCGGGTGGCTTAGTCAGTTAAGTGTCCGACTTTCGCTCAGGTCATGATCTCGCGGTTCGTGGGTTCGAGCCCCGCGTCGGGCTCTGTGCTGACTGCCAGCTCAGAGCCTGGAACCTGTTTCAGAGTCTGTATCTCCCTCTCTCTCTGACCCTCCCCTGCTCACGCTGTCTCTCTCTCTCCTAGAAATAAATAAAACATTAAAAAAAAAAAAGAATAACAGGACTTCTTTAGAAATATATCTAATATTTGGTTGTATGTCTTCCAGTCCAGAGAAGAGTGAGTTAAAAGAAAACCAGGGATTGTGATCTCTATTGTTTTGACAGATATAAGAGAATAGACTCTGAGGAACAAGTGTCCACACCCTTTGTGGAGAACTTGAAGCCCAGTTTCAGTCTGCCTATCACCTACCTAACAACAGTGCTGTGTTAGAGACAGTGACTTCGATGTTTTGTTTTGTTTTGTTTTTATATTTTTTTATTATTTATTCATTTTTGGGGGAGAGTATAAGCAGGGAGGGTCAGAGAGACAGGGACAGAGGAACTGAAGCAGGCTCTGCACTAATAGGCTAACAGCTGGAGCCCAATGTGGGGCTCAAACTCACAAACTGCGAGATCATGACCTGAGCCAAAGTCTGACGCTCAACGAACTGAGTGACCCAGGTGCCCCATATACAATGTTCTTAAAGAGAAGATGTGCATACAGAGGCTGGCTGAGAGGATCAAAGATGTTTTGCATGTCAAGATGATTGGTTACTAATTAGGTAAAACCAGTTCTGGAGAAACTCCTGATATGAAGTCTCGTAGCATGTAGCTATGGAGCCAGATTGATTCATGTAGTAGACAGGATAGAAAAACATCTTAACTTGGAGCCAATAAATGATCCTTAGCAATTTACTTACTTATATTCTAGTAGTTCTTTATAATTTCTTAAGATTTGAGTACTATATTTCATTCAGCAGTAACCTTGTGAACAAGGCCATGCAGGCATTATTATGCTCATTGTACAGAAATACAAAGTGACTTGCCTAATGTCACAAAGGTCATAGATGTCCAAAACAGAACCACAAGAAGAACCCACCTTTTGAAACCTCTCAATTTAGTGCTTTCTGAACCACATCAAGCCCTAAGACATGATGATCTTTCTTTTAATCTTTAAAAATTATACACGTACACACACAGATATGTATACATTCATGCATGCATACTTTTTTCACTATAACTTATATATGCTCATTGCTGAAACACTGACAGGAGAATAAAGAAAAAAAAAATGTGTCCCATGCACCTAAAAACTATCACCATTGACATTTGGTATATCTTCTCTGGAATCAAGTGGATTTGCTATGAGCAGGGAGATTTCACTCTATTTCATTGGGTTAGGGTGTATTTGAAAAATAATGTTAAAATTGTTTTTAGAGGTGTGACCTTAGAAATAAGTGACTACATTTTCTTCCTTGAATCTGCTTGTGTGTGTGCACTCAGCCAATTTCCTCAGACCTGGGCTTTCCATAAATTGAAAGCATTTGCAAATTCTGCACCCAGGCAGCCATTGTACCTTTTTTCTCTTCTCATCTTTAATAGCATAGCCAATGTCCAGCTAATCATATACTACTGTATCTCATGACATTCTGTCAAGTCACCTCATTTCCTCCCCCCTCCTTCCCAAATTCCCTTTTTCTCTAACCTGTTCTACATCAAGTCTAGTGAAAAAGATGAGAATGGTCAACAAGCTAAAGTTCTCCTCCCCTTTATAACCAACTGTGTGACCCTCAGTAAGCAACTTTACTCTCTGAGACTCAACTTTGTCATCTTTAAAATGAGTTTAGTTCAGGATGCCTGGGATGTTCAGTTAATTAAGCGTCTGACTTTGGCTTAGGTCATGATTTCATAATTTGTGAGTTTGAGCCCCTCATTGGGCTCTCAGCCTGCTTCAGGTCTTCTGTCCCTCTTTCTCTGCCTCTCCCTTACTTGCACGTTCATGCTCTGTCTTTCTCAAAAATAAAAATAAACATTTAGTATAATGAGTCTGGGTAATATAATTTTTAAGGTCCTCTCCAGAATTCATTCTTAGATTCCATTATTAAGTAAATCCATGCCAGATTGTGAGTGCCAGATAACCCTAGCCTCCCGAGAGAAATTATATTTCAAAGGTGACCCCTTTTATTAGCCCACATTAATTTATTCATGAGTTGACTCAATCGATTATATATTCACTCAACAGATATTTGCTAAGTGCGTACTAAGGTTGGGGGATGCATGAGTCAGTAAACAATAGAGTGTCCCTGACATCAGGAAGATTATCATGTAGTGAGACAGACAGGTAATTATAAACAAGTGTGATATTAATATAGGGAAAGTACAGGAATCTATTTACCCATGCTTGAGGGTAGCAGTGTAGACTGGGTCTCATCTAGATGAGTTTTTAATTATAGCTATGAATAAGGCAACTTTTAGACATTTTATTATATCATATCAATTTTTATTGAATGCCATCATTTTAACAGGAATAAAATATTCTAATTATATTCTAATTACATTCTTACAAGGAAAGGAGAGATATTGGAAAAATATTTTAAAATCTTAAAAATACAATTAAAAATTTGTATATTATTAATTTGTGGGTCTGATATAATGAGCAATGACACCGATATATACAGACATCTTTGTCTTGACGGAATGTCAAGTTACATTAGTCACGCTTCAGCAGGAATTTCTCAGTTGTGCATCTAATACTCTTCAGGAAAGGAATGACACTAGTGCCTCCAGTTCCTTTATTTTCAGGTTCTGATGATTCTTCAGATGTTGAGTTTCTCCCCTTCTGTTTCTTTGAAGGTTTCACGATGTACTTGGCTACTATAAACAAATGGTAGCTTCGCAGAGCAACCATAGCTTTCACACATTCATTATAATCTGCCTGCAGTTCAGCATCACCTTTTGAAAGAACAAACTGACGGACTGAGGGGGCTGACTCTAATGTCTGAAGAAATTTCCGGTGAGCTAACGGCATATATTCTCTCATTTCATGAAGGAATTTGGAAGCAAATTCTGAAACAACAAGAGAAAGATTAGTTAGTAGGGAAGCCAAAACATTCTCCAATCCAGGAGAGAAGGACAGAGTGAGGTCAGAGTGGGTGGGAGATCACAAGCCACCACTGAAACATGAGGCAATGAGTTCACAACCATCCTGTTAGAAGGCTATTCGTCTTGCTTTAGTAATGGTAATTATTTTAATTATGTATATTATTATGTATATACATTTATTATGTATATACAATTATGTATATAATTATGTATAATTATTATACAGCCTTAATTCTGAAAACCACGTGAAGTGAACTCATTCTTTCATAATAGAGTTTTTTGCTCATGTATCCTTTCTCACTTCTTATTGTATTTGATCCTTCTAAAAAGCCGATGATACAGGGTGAATATAATCTGTACACAACAGATCATGACAGAGAGTTCAAAAGAGTTTAAGGGATAACTTTTAAATAAATGAATGAACTATAAACCAGGAAATTCTTACTGGAGCTTCTTCTGCCTACTCTAAACCCCTACAAGGAATATAATAGATGTGGCTCATATTTCAACTTCTGGACATCTTTAAAATATGGGCTGCTGGGGTAATAAGACAGCTGACCAAGAGCAGTGTCAAGCCTCCCCTGTCACTGAGGTCTCCACCTCCCCAACTTCAACTCACAGTCCCATCTCACTTGCAGGTGACTTCCTCTTTCTGAATCTGATCATACATTTCCAGGACATGTGCTATGGGCTTCACCACAGCCAATTAGGCCTGATAAACATGTTCAAATGTCAGGATTGAGAGGGTGATAAACTTGCGTTTTGGTTCTGGTTTCACTGCTTTCCAGCTGGTTAGTGTGGAGTCTGTCACTTACCCTCTAAAGAACTTCAAATCTCCTGTTTGGTTGTCTGGGAAAGGTGATGATGACAATAAGATCTTGCCTTACCGATTCTTTGGAAACTACCAGATAGGCTCAGATGAGATGCTGATGGAAAGTTACTTTTTTTTAAAAATGTAATTTATTTTTGAGAGAGACAGCGTGAGCAGGGGAGGGTCAGAGAGAGGGGGAGACACAGAATCTGAAACACTTTCAAGGCTCTGAACTGTCAGCACAAAGCCCGATGCGGGGCTTGATCCCATGAACCGTGAGATCATGACCTGAGCCGAAGTTGGACACTTAACTGACTGAGCCACCCAGGTGCACCAGAAAGTAATTTTTTAGATGTTAAAACACTATTGTATTAACATAGGAGATGATTATTATTTGTCATTATCCACTCACCTTCACCAGAACTCTGCTGGATGCCCAGCAGAACATCAAAACATTGGAAAATGCTGCTTTGGGCTGCACTACCCCCTGCAAACTTCTTTGGGGTATCCCAGACACCTTCGTACTTCAGACCCTCTGGCAGCAGGGCGTGGCCTTTCCAGCTAGACCAGGAAGGGAGAAAAATCATTACTTAGGTTAATTACCAAATTTTCAGATATAAAACCATATAATAGAGGATGAATGGAGAGCGACATGACATAAATTTCATTATTCTTCCACAATTCCCTTCCACTGATGTTCATGTTTGAGAATGATAAATAATGGTTCTGAGAAAATGTGGCTTAAGTATTCCATAAATAGAAGCTTACCGTTGCACTGGAGCAAACATCATTCTGTTCTCTTCTTTTAATTTTTTTTTTTTTTTTTTGAGAGAGAGAGGTGGGGGAAGGGCAAGGAGAGAGGGAGAGAGAGAACACCAACCAGGTCCTCTATGTCAGTGCTGAGTCTGATATGGGGCTTGATCACACAAAGCAGGAGGTCATGACTTGAGCCAAAAGCAAGAGTCAGATGCTTAATTGACTGAGCCACCCAGGCACCACCATTCCATTCTTTTTCAAATGACTACCTTTCCTGTCCATACTCCAGTCCGTGTCTGGCCAGCTAATAACAAAGATAATAGTCTTTACTTTGTCTACATGTTTTTTAGGATATGCATTATTTCTTAAACCCGAAGGATAGTAGGGATCATCTGTGGGAGTTTGATGTGTTATGGGAATTGTTTAAGAGAAAACAATATCAAGTGTAAGACTACATACCCAGACAAATATATGCGAAGAACATTGAAAAATGTGCTTGGGTCCACGTAGTCTGTAAAAAGATGAGGTGTAATAAATTAAGCAGTCATCAGAACTATCACAGGAGATCAAGATATTGTAAACAACTGATAGTGGAGTTCAGCTTAGGCTGCAGAAAAGGCATTAGATCAATCTGTGCCAAAAAAGTCCCTGAGAACAAGCTCTCTCAAGTGAGCCTCATGCCCACTGAACAGGGCTGGCACACAGCTTGTATCAAAGAACCTAAGCCCACTTCTGATTCATCCTCGGGAGACCAATTAAACTGCTAATGTTTTTTTCAAACTATTTCATGTGCTTACTGATATAAGAGATAAACTACTTATATAAAGAAAGAAACAAATCTAAAATGAAAAGTAGACACAGCAACCCCAGGAACCCCGTGGGTTTCCTCATGAATCATCCTCCAAAGCTTACTAACATTTTTTACTTGAAGGTCTATTTCTTGCCAACGACCCATCAGCAGTAACTCAAAGCCTGGGGATACACCGTCACATATTTGTTGAAGCTGTCAGGCAGAGCACATATTTTTCTTTTTTTCTTGCAGTCCCTTGTTTGTATACTTTTTTTGGTTATTACTATTTTTTTAGCTGTTCATTTTGTCATAACTTTTGAGCTCAGTAGCTTTTCTCTGTTGTTTCTTACGTAACTAGTGAAAAACCAGAACTTGTAGGGAGTTCTTGTCAAGCAGAAGCTAAGTATTTCAGAACTGAAAACAGCCTGAACTTTCCACCTCTCTCTCCATGGATTTCAGTGGGAGGCTAAGACATTCCTGTGAGTTAAATAGCTACCTGGCTTGCAATTGCAATTCTGGCTTCACAATTTACTATCTATGTAACCTTGGGCCATTAATCTTATCTCTCCAGTAGATTACTTTATCCGTAAAATTAATATAATAAAACCTACCACAAGAAAGTATAATTTAGTGACATAAAGTAAAACACACCCACTAAGTGAGAGGGTTTTTTTTCTTCTGTTTGTTTAACAACGCTAACGTTTCACATAATCAGAAAGTTGTGACTGCCAGCCTTGAATGTTGCCTGGCATAGAATACTTGCCATGAATTTGCTGAAACTCTTCGCGGGCTTGTTTCAGACAAGAAGATATATAACGCAGTGCCTGTTGCAAAGTTTTCTGGTCCTCACATTTTACTGCATTTAGTAAATCGGGAATTACCTTAAAAAAAAAAGGTAAACATTTAAGATTTCCTAGCACTAAATATTGGCATAGAATAAAATTCTCCTAATTCGTACTCTGCAAATTAAATGTGGGATTTCCATTTTTCTGTTTTGCTGAATACCCTCTTGTTTGACTTAATTTCCCTGTATTTAATTAAGCCTGGATTTATTTTTATTTATTTCTCATTTAGAGATAAGCTTATATAGTTTTATATAGTTTTATTTCTAACTCTAATAGTCAAAACTATTATATTTATGTCACTCTGTGATCTAGTTCCAATGACAACTTGCATTAAAAATGCATTTATTTTACTGAAGTTCCAAACTTTATTCTAAATGTGTGGGTCCTATGCTTTCTATTTTAGATGATACACAAAAATAAATAAAATACTTATTTCTATTAGATGACCTCATATCCAATTAAATAATCGAATGCTCTATTTAGTCATGATAAAGTTATTTCATGAATAATATAGTTTGGTTACTAAATGATTGCTCTGCTTATGGAAATGAAGATACAAATTTGCCAGTATGGATGGACTTACTTTGATTGCAGAAGCCGCTGCTATTTCCACCAACAGAGAAACCAGGAAAAATCCTTTACCACAGTCTCCACCAGGAAATGAAAACAGAATGTCCATGTTCCTAAGAAAACAAGTCAAGGGAGTCAAGAATTTAGCAAAAGTACTGGCATATTTGTTTGAGTGCTTTGTAGTTTTCAAATATTTTTATTCTATTTTAGTTTCAAAATAACTTTTTGGGATAAGTATGCTAGATTTTACCCTCTCCATTCTGTTATGAGTGTTAGGTTCATTGTCTAAGATCTAATGGTAAATTAAACTGGATCTTGAAATTCCATTTTAGAATTTTGAAACCAGAAATTCCAAGATCATTTCTGTTTCTATCCTATCATTAATTTTTCACATGCATATATATTACCATATATATATATGTATATATGTATATATATATATACATATATATATACATACTTGATGCTTTAGAGACATCTGTGAGGTATAATTTTAAGTAGTCTTTTTGCTTTGAATACATATATTTGCATCTATGTTTTTATCAGTGAACCTGATTCAATTTCTCAGTGGTTTACCTGCTTTACAAAGAAATTGGGAAATTCAAATAATTGATTATACCCTATTTTCTTTTTTATTGAAGTTTTACACTAGTGCAAACAAGGACTTAGTATCTGTATATCTATGAAGTTCATGGTGGTTAAATTCATGGTCCCTGAAGCCAGACCATTTCTGCAAGCTACCTTGTGGTGTGACCTTGATCAAGATACTTTATGTTTCTGCCTCAGTGTTCTCATCTGTAAAATGGCACTGATGATACCATCTTCCCAAGTTAAAAAGCCTTCCATAGCTGTCCACTGATCTGAAGATACTATTGAAACCCCTTATCATAGCCAAAGGTCCTACATAATTTTTTGCTAAATTTATTTCTTCATCCGTTTACCACACTACTACTTCCATCAGTCACTACTTATCAAGGACACTAGCCTTCCTTTGGTTCTGATAATACATCAAGATTTCCATCACTTTGAGGCCCTCACTCTTGCTGTTTTCTCCACTATGAGCATTCACCTTTTTCTTGTAGCTAATTCCTTCCTACTCACTCTTTGGAACTCAGATTAAATAACTTGCTACAAGGATTCCTTCTTTATCCGGTTTATTTGGTTAGAGTTCCTCTTGCCCTCCTCCTTATCAAAAAGCAATGTACATAATTTTCCTGTATCTACTTTCTGAACCAAAGCAGGCTTATTCTTAATGATATTTACCTTTATTTCCTTAGCTTTTAGCTTTCGTTTAGGATATAGATCAAAAATAGTAAGGACTGGGCCGAAAAGAACAGGTTTATGTTTCCAGCCACTGAGGTTATTCAGTCAAAGACACATAGATGGATGTGCATTTTATATGTGTGCATTTTAATTATATTTTATATATGCAGGTGCTATTTTTGCATATAACTATAGCTATGATATCAAGCAGACATGGTCCTATGATAGTCCTATATCTGATTAAGTATTGGGATTATATGCTCTTTAAACCATTACTTGAGTTATATTTTGCCTGAACTCAATTGGGATTTTAAAAAGTACTTTTGGAAGATATTGATAAGCCTATATTTACTTTGAATAACAAATAATTCTTAGAATAAAGTAAGAATCAAATACTTACTCATAAATCATGGGCCTTATGAAAGCAGCCATCAAACAGTGGGTCAATTGGAAGAGAAAAAGAAAATCAATTAAAAATCAAATGGTTTTGAGTTATTCGTATTCAATTTAATACTACTGATCTATCAAAGGTAAGATATAAGTAGAAAAGAAAAATACATATATGCTTTTTAAAAAAGACTTATCAACTAGGCAATGCAAACACTTAACTTAGTACTTTTTAAGAAAAGAAAATATTTAAGGGACACAGAGGGTTAGCCAAACTAGTCATTCCTAATAAGCTATTCTAGATCAAATCCTTTCATTTTATGCTTCCCGGGTCTACAGTAGAAACACACCCTGAACCCTGGGACACCTTATGTCTCTTGTTCCCTTGTGGTAACAGACCCCACTGCTAAGAGGACAGGAAGGGCCTAGCCCTTCAGCTTTTTCATCTCCACTGCTGAAAATGTGTTTACTCTTTTTTTTGGTTTTGTTTTTTATTTATTTCTGAGAGAGAGAGACAGCATGAGCAGGGGAGGGTCAGAGAGAGAGGGAGACACAGAATCTGAAGCAGGCTCCAGGCTCTGAGCTGGCTGTCAGCACAGAGCCAGACGCGGGGCTCGAACTCACGAACCGTGAGATCATGACCTCAGCCGAAGTCAGACGCTCAACTGACTGAGTCACCCAGGTGCCCAGAAAATGTGTTTATGCTTAACTGAAGAGTTAAACATTAAAGTTGTAGAATCTCCAAAATATGTTACTTTAAAGAAGCCAGATACAAGAGTACCTACTCTATAATCTCACTAACGTGAAATCCAATAGTAGAATAAACTTAAGTTTTAAAATGACCAATCAGAATGTGTGTACCTAGAGGTAGAGAAGAGAATTGAATGAAATGAACCATAGAGTGGTATTCTGTATATTGCTTCAGGCTATCCACGTGTATAGAACAGTCAAAATCCCCCAACTGAACAGTCAAGATGGCACATTTCATTGTATGTTAACTATACACCTTTCTCTCATGGATATACCAGCAGAGGAAAACATACGCCCAAGTCAGAGAAGAAAGCTGTGCTACTGAAAAGTAAACCAATGACTAACTCCCTCTTGATGTAAATAGCGTGCACTTCTTTAATTCCTGCTGTAATCACAGTTTACATACCCACTGGGGTCCTTTTTCTTCCAGTTTGCCAAGACACAGTCTGCATAAACCAGAATGGGAGGCAGATCCAGCTTCTTAGAGAGTTCACAGTAAGGAATAGCAATATTTTTTGGCAGGACCTAATTAAAACACAGGGTTTAGAATTAATCTTTGAAGTATCTTACCTTTTCCTCTGCTTTCTGGGTGTCAGAACATTAGCTGTTCTACATCATGGCACTCGGAAACCAAACCACTGTAATTTTCTCTTCCTCATTTCATAACTTAGTCCTGGGAATTATTAAATGTTTATGTTTTAGATGTAGGTTGATGTGGACATAATCTAGTCAGAGAGAGAGAAATATGAAGTAAAGGGTATGAGGAACAAAGGATGTATCATTGACTTTCCAATGGCCTGTGGTTACTTGTAGTCATTTATTCATTCGTGTGTTCATCCCATAAACATTTGTTAAGCAGCTCCTCTGTAAGGAACTCTTCATCCATAGGCAATACAAGGATAAAGTCATGCTCAGCTCCCTTTTCGTTCAACTTTTCTTTTCCTGAGCCTGTTACTCAGGATTCTGCTCCGTGTATGGCCACATTCTAAAAGACTCCTTTTTTTTTTTTTTTAAATATTTATTTATTTATTTCTAGGAAAGAGAGAGAGACAGCGTGAGCAGGGGAGGGTCAGAGAGAGAGGGAGACGCAGACTCCGAAACAGGCTCCAGGCTCTGAGCTGGCAGTCAGCACAGAGCCCGACGCGGGGCTCGAACCCACGAACCGCTAGATCATGACCCAAGCGGAAGTCGGTCGCTTAACCGACTAAGCCACCCAGGCGCCCCAAAAAGACTCCTATCTCCACAGGGCAATCTTGATGGGCAAATGCTCTCTGAAGGGCCCATTGTTGCCACTTACGCAAGCCATGTTTTCCAATTGCTCTATTAATCATAATGCTGACCTTTTATTCTTTATTTGCCTGACTTTATAGCCAGAATGTCCCACGTAGTAATTAAGGCCATCCTTGACATCAGCAGCCTATGGCTGGAATATGTGTATCTAACCAGGCAAAGGAAAAGGATGTGTGGCTCATCTGGGGTAGTGGGAGGTGGGACTGCAGTGGGAAAGGTGGTATGACAATGTGGCCTGCTCCACAGTTCTGCAAAAATCAAGAAAGCTCTAACCTCAGTAGCTTCGGATTAACCTAATACACCTGGAGATGATGGTTTAACAAAGAGGACAGAACATTAGCATGAAAACATCGGCTATCCAAGTCCTTGCAGAGCTTGTGCCTCTGGGATCAGAGACATTTTGGTTTGCAAATGATTTACAATCATTTCAAAAGGAAATTTCTGGATATGTTTCAAAAGGAAATTTCTGCCTTTTTCTGATTTAAACAAAAGATCAAAGGGAAACAAAAGGGAAGATGCTTAATTAAATAATTAATTTGAGGTGACTTGGGGAAAAGAAATGTTCAAACACATCTGTTTAGATTGTGTATAGACTGTAATAGATTACTATTAAAGATATTTATGCAGCTACTAAGAAACTCAGATGCTAATTTCTAGCCCATTCTCAAGCAAAATGTGTCTTATAGTGATATATCTTATTTTTTGTCCATTTATTTTCTTTCCTCATTTCAATAGTTCTATATATGTGTGTGTGTATATATATGACTATTGACTACATGTGTATACACACACAGAGATAGATAGATATATATGTACATATATATAGATATAGATAGATACACATACACACATATACATTTCCTATAATTTCCTCACTTCAACAGTCATATATATGTATTTGTTCCTGGCTTCTAAAATCCTTTTCAGAATAATGTGGTCTATAGAAACTAAATAAATTAAAAATATATTTTTAAGTTTTATTTTATAATCCTGAAGTCCAGTCTGGTAAATTTATTATCTTTTTATTATCCCATATACATTCTGGTCTCCATATTTTTTGCTAGTCCTCTCTCTTTTTTGCCCCTCTCCTCTTTGAATAAACTCTACCAATCTTTTAAGAAATAATTCAAGTCCCACTGCTTCTTGAAGCATTTCATTATTATTCCAACTACTATTTAACTCCTCTGGAGCCTCATACTTCTGCACTTAACATATGCTTCCCTTTGTTATTGATGATCTTTTTTGTTTGTTTGTTTGTTTTATTTTGAGAGAGAAAGTGTGCATGTGTGTGTGAACAGAGTAGGGGCAGAGAGAGAGAGAAAGAGAGAGAGAAAATCCCAGGCAGGCTCCACTCTGTCAGCGCAGACCACAAACCATGAAATCACTACCTAAGCCGAAACCGAGAGTTGTAGGGTTGACTGACGGAGCCACTCAGGTGACCCTACTGATGATCTTTCTATACAATACCTACACATTTAGCTAGACTTGGATTCTAGCAAGTCTAGTGGGGCTTTGTGCTTAGGTTGTAAGGTTAGAACTAATCTTAAACCTTACAGTGTCCTCACAAAATTTAGATATAGTAGTCTGATGATTATAAAGAAGTATAACATGTTCCCATGATTATGTGGAGCATCTTTTTTCTTTTGTTCACATATAAGGGGATGACTTATCACATAAGTGAACTGTATGTGCTGTTTTGTGTTTAAGCAAGGTGTGGAAAGACAAACAAGATAATAATGCCAATTACCTTGTCAAAGGAAAAAAAAATCACTAGAGGGCAGAAGGTGCTTCTGGAACCTATTTTATCTCTTTCTGGTCTAAAGATTAGGTGTACAGTCAACTGGTTTTATGTGATTAGGATTGCCAGACAAAATACAATACGGTATTATTTTAAATCTAAAGTTATCTACTGTGGATGAGAGTAGAGTGAAACCCATATGTTCTTCCATATTGGCAGATGTAAGAAAGCACTTTGGCATGAAGTAAGAAGAGTCATAACATGTGCATAATCTCCCAAAACTCATAAGGAGACAAAATATTTAATTTTCAAATATATTGACTATCGTGTCATTTACAATGGTAAAATATTAAAATGTACAGTATTTGTAAACAGAGGATTGAATAAATAAAGTTCAGTAACTCAATGAAAAACTATAAAGTGATTTCAAATGATGACTGGCATGATTATGTTGTAACTAGAAAATGCTTACAGTATAATCTAAGTAAAAGACTCAGACGTATGTCTATATCAATAGGATGGAGCAACTACTGTGTTATGTAAGTGAAGGATTAAAAATCCAATAACGATAGCAGCTGGCAGGTTAAAGCAATAAATGATTGTTTTCCTTTTTATTGTTTTCTGTTATCCAAGCATCATAAAATTTAGTTATAATATTTTTAGAGTTATTTTTACATTAAATGTCAATTGGATGTAAATTGTCATATAGCATAAGAAATACCAGAAAATCTCCAAACCTTACGAACATCTTCACCGCCTTGATTCCACACATACGCCATGGTGATATATCCCAGGACCAGATGTGCAAGGCGCTGTGATTTGTGGTTTTTGAGACCATCAATACTGAGCAGTTTTAACTGGGAATAAAAAGAGGAATTGACTCGAATCAACATGGGTGGCATTATAGCTTTAAAGCCAAGTTAAAAATGTTAAGAAGCTGTAACAGGAAGAAGAATGTAATGCCTTTCCAAACCTTCTCAACTTCGTTACGTAGTTCATTTTTCTCAATCAGTTCAGGCAGGTTTCTAGCAATGAAAATCCATTGATCATAAGGGTAAGGTAGCTCCTCCTTGAAAAAAAGAAACAGAACATTTATCTTGTAGCGAAAGTTTTTATGTAATAGTTTTGCCTCTGATTGATTGTCCTGCCTCTAGATCAACTCTGTGTAACACCATCCTAGCCAACAATTACCCGTCCAGTAACCCCATTGTTACCTGCACACTCAGGGCTCAAGACTTCTTCCTCTCCTCCAGCACTCTTACCTGCCTCTTTTACACAGGCCACCTCGAAAGTTCCACTAAAATCATCCTGATTACTCCAACATACACTTACATCCCCAAGTATAAATCCTATGTATTCTATTTTCACATTGTTAAGTAATTTATTGTTATCTGTTACTTATTTTCTCTTCCTGGCTAGATTCTAATATTTTTTAATGGAAGAAAAGTGAGATTTCTTAGATGTCAGTAAGTAGACTAGGCATTTTGTTCAATAATTTCTCATTTAAATATTATAATGACCTAAAAAGTTGACTGTTATCTCCATTTCATAAATAAGGAAAACAAGGCTCAGCTTATGAGATTGTTTTGTATATATAGTTTATTGTGATTGAACTTTTAAGTGCTTCCAACTTTCAAAAATCAATTCTCTTTTTTTCCCCTTAAACCTTATTCATTCCTTATTTCTGAGAGAAAGAGAGCACAAGCTGGGTAGGGGCAGAGAGAGATAGGGTGACACAGAATCCAAAGTAGGCTCCAGTCTCCGAGCTGTCAGCACAGAGCCCATTGCGGGGCTTGAATTTACAATCTGTGAGATTATGACCTGAGCTGAAGTCAGCTGCTTAACAGAATGAGCCACCCAGGAACTCCTCAAAAATCAATGCTCTTTTAACATCTCACTACCTGATTTGATGGTAAGGATTTTATCATGCTTTTAATTTTATATTTCTTACAGAACCTTGGACAGTACTGGACATGTAGTAGATGCTGTATTTATATGTATCAATTATCTGCTTTGGTACTATAGGGGTATATTTTTCCCAGTAAGTGCAAATAAAATCCAAACAGAAGTGTCTCTTTAGATCTTTTCATATTTATGCTTTCATGTCAAGGGAAAACATACAAACGAAAGACCTAGACGATGCCCTGAAATGAGATTCAATTTCCCATATGCTCTTTCCCCATGCCTGTTTCATTAAGCCCTTTCCAGATATGTCCTTGAAGTCATCAGTACTGACCTATGGGGACACGGCAAAAATAGATTAACTCAAACCAACATTGGTGAAGTTTTAAGCTTCAAAACCAAGTTAATATTATAAGTAAGCTACAAGATAAAAAGGCAAATGTAACATAAAATTTAAACATTTTCAGGGCTTCAGATAATTGGCCAATCTTTGGCTGTTAGGGCAGATATTTTAGCAATGAAAGATGCAAGCAGTATATTCACTAGATAGTCACCTCTCTGGTTTCTCTGAATATTTCTCCCTAACTACACAAATGCTATATATATTTTTGTTGTTGCTGTTGCTGTTTTTGTTGTTGTTCTCTATTTTACTATATAACACAACTGAATTTTTGGTTTTTACTCTTTTCCCAAAATAACAGAAATATTTTTGTTGTTATATATCATGATTAACATCCTTTTGACAGATGTAAAAATGCACTCAATAATATACTTCTGGTTCAGAGGATGCTTAATGGTATAATATAAATTAATGAAGAATAACACAGAGGGTCATTCAACTTCTGCTAGATTAGAGAATGTATTTTTTCTATCATTGTGGAACCAGAAGACATATTCTTTTCTTTTGGAATAGAAATCTGATTGATTATAAAAGATGAAATGAACATTGTGAGCTTATAATTTCTAGGAAAGATCTTCAGTGAAGAAATAAAAGTAATGACTAATTTGTTTTTCTTGTTTCAAAATATGACCTAATTCCCTAACCATCTTAAGTAGTAATGCTACTTTTTAAGTAGTCCAGGAAGAGTTTTGTTTTGCTTTTGTTTGGGGATTTTGCTTTACCCCTTGGAATATGTTCTTAGGTCTCTGAAACTACCATGATTGTCTTAATTTTTAAAAGAACTTACTTTGGAAGAAAAATGATATAGAGTTTTATAGTACCGTTGAAAAGTAAATTTTCAAAATCATCTTATCCTGGCACTTCAGTGTGCTTGTATGGGGAGGGAACAGGTCTAAGTATGAGTGATTTGCAAATATAAAGTAAAGTAAGTGCTTTTAGTAATAACATTAGTGGGCTGGGTTTTTTGTTTGTTTTTTGAGAGAGAGAGAGAGAGAGCATAAGCTGGGGGGAGGGGCAGAGAGAGAGAGAGCTCTCTGAGAGAGCTAGAGGCTAGAGAGAGGGGCTAGATCCCAGATCACAGGAACTCTGAGATCATGACCTGAGCAGAAATCAAGAATTGGATGCTTACCCGACTGAGTCACCCAGGCACCCCTACAGGATGTTATTTCTAAGTGAGATTGGATCTCTAACTAAAAATATATTTGCTGCATTTAAAGATGCCCTCTAGGATACAGACTGTGTTTGCACCACAAAATATTGATATGCACTATACAGAGTTGTCACAGCATATAACTCGTTCCTAGAAATCATATAGAATCTCATAAACCTTATTAAACCCAATAGTGGAGTGGGGGAAAAGCAATGCCTTGTGGTATCTTCTCTTACGAGAAGTAGCATATTATAATGATTTTAAGATCATGGACTCTGAAGCCAGACTAGTCAGGTTCACATTCTATCTCTGCCATTGCTAACTGTGCAAGTTTGGGTAATTATCTAAATTCTGCATGGCTTAAACTTATCAGGAAAATGAGGTTAATAACATATATACAGTTTAGGATGGTTGCGAAGGTGGAGTAAGTATTTGTAAATTTCTTAAAGATGCTAAATAAATGTTTGATAGTTGAAATAGATAATAAAATGGTTTTCCTGGCATTCTTTGAAATACATCTTAGAAAAATGCAGTTTTAAAGGCATTTACTCTACATGTCTTGCTCTTTGCAGGCAAAGCTTGTAAGATTTTAAAAAAGGTAATTCAGACTCTCATTCGAAACTTATACTTAGTAACAACAAGTAGTATTAATACAACACAAAATTGATATACCATCTCAAAAACCTAATCAAAGTAGGAACATGTACTTCATACAATTTAAGGTATTCTCAGTCAAGTGAAAGGGTTCCTTTGACATGGATCATTTATTACTTTGTTTTTTTTTTTTCAAAATACCCTCCAAAAATGCAATTGTATTAAGCCAAAATACATCATAGTTTCCTTTTTTCATCACTTCCGTTATCTGTGTAAGGTAAGTAAAAAGTGGATTTAAGACTCAATCTCCAGGCAGAAAATTTTAAGAAAGTTCAATATGAATCATTTATTAAAACTCTGCTGTACTTATAGCATTGCTCTATCCATTTGTTCAGTAAAAATTACTGAACCACATTTGTTCAGTAGACGTTAACTTGCCCAGGTAAGTAATGATAAGAAAACATTTTTGCCCATAAAGCAATTTCTTGTCTTACCAGTGGATCTGGCAGAGCGAAGCCCACTTTTTCATCTATATGGTATTCTTTGAAATTTTCCCAAGAATCTTCTGTAGACAATGTCCTGCTGTGTGCCATTCTCGCAGCCTACTCCACTGGCCCTCCTTATTCTGCAAGGGGTTTTCAGAGCATCTATTTATTATAGAGGTAGCCATAGCCAATGATCACAAACTTACCACGTAGGCAGTAAGAAAAGACTTCCACTTTTAGAAAGGTTTCATTTTCTTTCTTTGTAATTTGATAAACAATAAAACCACAAAACATCCCATTCATCATATGAAGAAACTGAAAGTTTATATTGTTATGAAGTAGTTGTCACTGGGAACACCATTGGCTTACTGTCATAGGAAATGTCAGAAAGAAACTGAAATAACAAAAACCATGAAAATAGGTAACTAGAAAAGAACATTTTTTATGGGAACTTTAAACCTTGAAGAAAGATCATGAATTTGACCAAGGCTAAAGTCCTAAAATATCACTTCGCCATTACTGTCATTGGCTTTCCATTACATCTCTAGGGTTCTTAAACATAGTAGTGCCTTATTTCAGCGGCCATGAAAGGCAAATTGTGCTACATTGAACTGGTAGGCAATGTCTGATGTAGGAAAAAAAAAATGGAAGTAGGTGAGAAACTAAGATATACCTCTTGAGGCACCTGGGTGGCTCAGTCACTTAAGCATCCGACTTCATCTCAGGTCATGATCTTACCTTTTGTGGGTTTGAGCCCCGCATCGGGCTCTGTGCTGACAGCTCAGAACCTGGTGCTTCTTTTGGATTCTGTGTCTTCCTCTCTCTCTCTGCCCCTCTCCAACTTGTTCTCCTTCTCTCTCTCTAAAAAATAAATAAAAGTTAATTTTTTTAATTAAAAAAAAAGAAAGACAGTACCTCTCTATGTCCCCATTTTTCTTTCTCAGTCTTTTATCTATGTTCTCAATGATACAGTTCTTTCTTCTTCATATTCCTTATAAATCATTTTTAGGGAGACTTTTTTGTATCTCTACTATATTAACTGCTAAGGACTGTCGAGGCAATAGACCTTCATATTTGGAGAGTTTGTAATATGTTAAAAGTTTAAATAAAGGATAAAACACATTGAAAATATTTCTTTCAAAATGCAAATTAAAACTGCATTTGGCAAAGTTTTTGGGGTGCTGTCACTTATAGGCATTGTTCGATCTTGCTAATAAAGCTGAAGCAAAGGTAGAAACCGTATCGTTCTTTTGATGATCAAAAGGAGAAATCAGGAGTCAGTGTGCAGTACATTTTAAGAATGCAATTTGTCGCTCAGCTTATCAGTACTTGAAATAACTTAATGGTACATGACTCTTCATTCTGGAATATTTCTCACACTCTTCTTTCCCATGAATCATGTTTTTTTTTTTTTTTAACATGCAGTTTTACAAGAATATGTTCTTCTTACAACAAAAGTAAAGGAAATTGAAACCAAATTATGCTGGAAAAGAACACATGGCTAAGCTTATTCATAATGAATGAATCATGAGGCTGATATCTTTGAAACCAGGCCCAAGGCAGAAAAAGAAGAACATCATGTTGGGTTGTTATATCTGTGTGAAAGCCAAACATAACAAAAATGCTTTAGGGGAGCCTGGGTGGCTGAGTTGGTTAAGCATCTGACTTTGGCTCAGGTCATGATCACGGTTCATGGGTTCGAACCCCGCATCAGGCTCTGTGCTGACTGCCAGTTCAGAGCCTGGAGCCTGCTTAGATTCTGTATCTCCCTCTCTCTCTGACCCTCCCTTGCTCATGCTGTCTCTCTCTCAGAAATAAATAAAACATTAAAAAACTTTTAAATAAAAAAAACAAAAACACTTTTAGGAATTAGAGAATGTGTGTTTATTCATATGATTTTTCACTCTTCCTACCTGGATTTTCTTTTTCTATTGGTGCGTCAAAACAGACACATGTAATGAAGTTTAAGCTAATTCTATGTTAGAAAAGTTTCCGAGGCTTGATTTTTTTTTTTTCAAGTTGGTTTCCATATAACACCCAGTGCTCATCCCCACAAGTGCCTTCCTCCATGCCCATCACCCCCCTTCCCTCCCCACACCCATCAGTCCTCAGTTTGTTCTCAGCATTCAAGAGTCTGTCATGGTTTGCCTCTCTCCCTTTCCCCCACTATTACCCCCCTTTTCTCCCCCACGGTCCTCTGTTAAGTTCCTCCTAATCCTCCTATACATGCAAACATATGGTATTTGTCCTTCTCTGCCTGACTTATTTCGCTCAGCATAACACCCTCAAGGTCCATCCATGTTGCTACACATGGCCAGATTTCATTCTTTCTCATTGCCGTGGAGTATTCCATGGTATAGATAAACCACATCTTCTTGATCCATTCGTCCGTTGATGGACACTTAGGCTCTTTCCATGTTTTAGCTATTGTGGAGAGTGCTGCTATGAACATTGGGGTACATGTGCCCCTATGCATCAGCATTTCTGTATCCCTTGGGTAAATTCCTAGCAGTGCTATTGCTGGGTCCTAGGGGAGTTCTAGTGTTAATTTTTAAAGAAACCTCCATACTGTTTTCCGAGGGACTGCACCAGTTTACATTCCCACCCACAGTATAGGAGGGTGCCCGTTTCTCCACATCCTCGCCAGCATCTAGAGTCCTCTGATTTGCTCATTTTAGCCACTCTGACTGGCGTGAGGTGATATCTCAGTGTGAGAAAATGATCTAGTTTCATTCTTCTGCATGTTGCTGTCCAGTTCTCCCAGCACCATCTGTTAAAGAGGCTGTATTTTTTCCATTGGATACTCTTTCCCGCTTTGTTAAAGATTAGTTGGCTGTATACTTTTGGGTCCAATTCTGAGTTCTCTATTCTATTCCATTGGTCTACGTGTCTGTTTTTGTGCCAATACCATACTATCTTGATGATGACAGCTTTGTAGTAGAAGCTCAAGTCTGCGATGGTGATGCCTCCCGTTTTGGTTTTCTTCTTCAATATTACTTTGGCTATTCAGGATCTTTTGTGGTTCCATATAAATTTTAGGATAGTTTGTTCTAGTTTTGAGAAGTATGCTGGTGCAATTTTGATTGGGAATGCATTGAATGTGTAGATTGCTTTGGGTAGTAATGACATTCTAACTACATTTATTCTTCCTATCCATGAGCATGGAACGTTTTTCCATTTCTTTGTGTCTTCTTCAATTTCCTTCATAAGTTTTCTATAGTTTTCATCATACAGATCTCTTATATCCTTGGTTAGGTTTATTCTTAGGTGTTTTATGGCTTTTTGTGCAATTGTGAATGGGATCAGTTTCTTGATTTCTCTTTCTGTTGCTTCATTGTTGGCGTATAAAAGTGCAACCGATTTCTGTACGTTGATTTTTTACCCTGAAACTTTCTGAATTCTTGGATCAGTTCTAGTAGGCTTCTGGTGGAGTCTGCCAGATTTTCTATGTAGAGTATCATGTCATTTGCAAAAAGTGAAAGTTTGACTTCTTCTTTGCCAATTCTGATGCCTTTGATTTCTTTTGTTGTCTGATGGCTGATGCTAGGACTTCCAGCACTATCTTAAACAACAGTGGTGAGAGTGGACATCCCTGTCGTGTTCTTGATCTCAGGGGGAAAGCTCTCAGTTTTTCCCCGTTGAGGATGATGTTAGCTGAGGGCCTCTCATAGATGGTTTTTATGATGTTTAAATAAGTTCCTTCTTTCTTGACTTTCTCGAGGGTCTTTATTAAGAAGGGATGCTGTATTTTGTCAAATGCTTCTTCTACGTCTATTGACAGGATCATATGATTTTCATCTTTTCTTTTGTTGATGTGATGTATCACATTGATTGATTTGTGAATATTGAACCAGCCTGTAACCCAGGAATGAATCCCACTTGATCTTGGTGGATAATTCTTTTTATGTGCTGTTGGATTCGATTTGCAAGGATCTTGTTGAGGATTCTTGCATCTGTATTTATCAAGGATATTGGCCTGTAGTTCTCCTTTTTTGCTGGGTCTCTGTCTGGCATGGGAATCAAAGTGATGCTGGCTTTGTAAAATGAGTCTGAAAGTTTTCCTTCGATTTCTATTTTTTTGTAATAGTTTGAGAAGAATGGGTATTAATTCTGTTTTAAATGTCTGGTAGACTTCCCCAGGGAAGCCATCTAGCCCAGGGCTCTTATTTGTTGGGAGATATTTGATAACTGATTTGATTTCGTCACTTGTTATGGGTCTGTTCAGGTTTTCCATCTCTTCCCGTGTGAATTTTGGTAGTGAGTGTGTGTTTAGGAATTTGCCCATTTCTTCTAAGTTGTTCAGTTTGTTGGCATATAGTTTTTCATAGTATTCCCTGAGAATTACTCGTATTTCTGAGGGGTTGGTTGTAATAAGTCCGTTATCATTCATGATTTTGTCTATTTGAGTGCTCTCTCTTTTCTTTTTGAGAAGCCTGGTTAGAGGTTTTCAATTTTGTTTATTTTTTCATAAAATCAACTCTTGGTTTCATTGATCTGTTCAACTGGTTCTTTGGTTTCTATATTGTTTATTTCTGCCCTGATTTTTATTATATCTCTTCTTCTACTGGGTTTGGGATGCTCCTGTTGCCTTCCCTCTAGTTGTTTTAGGTGCACTGTTGGATTTTGCACTTGTGCTATTTCTAATTTCTTGAAATAGGCTTGGAGTGCAATGTAATTTCCTCTTAGGACTGCTTTCGCTGCATCCCATGGGGTTTGGATTGTTGTATTCTCATTTTCATTTGTTTCCATATATTTTTTAATTTCTTCTCTAATTGCCTGATTGGCTCATTCATTCTTTAGTAGGGTGTTCTTTAGCCTCCATGTTTTTGGGGGGTTTTCCAGACTTCTTCCTGCGATTGATTTCGAGTTCATAGCATTGTGATCTGAAAGTGTGCATAGTATGATCTCAATTCTTTTATATTTATGGATGTGATGCTTTATGTCCCAGTATGTGATCTATCTTGGAGAATGTGTCATGCGCACTTGAGAAGAATGTGAATTCCATAGCATCAGGATGTAGAGTTCTAAATATATCTGTCAAATCCATCTGGTCCAATGTGTCATTTAAGTCCATTGTGTCTTTATTGATTTTCTGTCTAGTTGATCTG